GGAGTTTCATGGTGGTTTATGTGGATGACATCCTCATTTTCTCACCCTCTTCTGACCTTGTGAAGGAGGTGATGCTGAAGCTTCAAGACAAGTTCAAGTGCAAGGCCCTTGGTGACGTGAGCTTCTACCTTGGGCTCCACATCGAACGAGATGTGGAGAAGCGGTGCATGCGGGTGCATCAACGAAAGTACCTGGAGGCATTGGCTGCCAACTTTGGGCAGAGTGAAGGCCATGTGGCTACACCCTTTCCCTCTGGGTTCAAGTGTGTGAAGGGACCAGAGGAGGAGAGCGTTGGTGAAGAGGAGAGGCGCCGATTTCACTCGTTGGTGGGCAGCCTCATGTATGCGGCGGTAAACACCCGACCGGACGTCGCGTTTGCTACCGGGCAGCTGGCTAGGGTTGTGCAATGCCCTAATGAGGAGCAGGTAGCAGCTGGAATGAGGGTGGCCAAGTATCTTGGCCAAACACCGACCGTTGGGCTGCAATACTCGGCGGCGGCACAAAGGCGCCAAAAGGGCGCGGATGGTGTTGAACCCGGGCGTTTGTTCCTCACCGCCTACTCGGATGCTTCATATGCATCAGAACCAGAGGACATGACAAGTGTGGGAGGCTTCATATGCTGTGTTGGTGGAGGCCCAACTGCTTGGGAGAGCAAGAAGCAGGTTGACCAAGCTTTGAGCTCGGTGGAGTCCGAGTACATGGCACTCTTCCGTGCCGTACGGGAGATTGTGTGGCAGCGGCGTTTGTTGGCTGAATTGGGGGAGGAGCAGCAAGGACCTACCCCACTGTACTGTGACAGCCAGGGTGCCATTGCTCTTGCTAAGAACCCTGTGTTGCATGGACTCACGAAGCACATGAGGGTGAAGTGGCATTGGACGAGGAGCATGGTAACCGCGGGTGAAGTTGAGTTGCGCTACGTGAAGACCACGGGGCAGCCGGCTGACATGATGACCAAGAGGCTGGTGGAGCAGCAGCATTGGAAGTGTTGCAAGCTGGCTGGGATGGCTCTGAACTGAGAGAGCAACATATCCTAAGGCCAACAATCCGAGGGGGAGTTTGTTGGTGCAACCCTACGGTTTGCACTCGGCTTGTTGTCCGTGTGCGTGAATGTGTGTGTGTATGGAATGGTATGAGGGCATGGGATAATATATATATTTCATGCTTATAATTGTGTGTGAATGTTGAGTCATGATGTCGAGTGTGTGTGTCGAGTCAATAGCGAGTTATCGCTAGACGCGTGTTACGCGGTCGTTTGTGTCTCGCGCGCGGTTTCTATTTTGTCGTGCGCGGTTTCTATTTTGTCCTGTGTCGAACGTTCGGCGTGTCGCAGGTGTGTGCAGCAGACCCATCAAGAACTCAAGGATGAGTTTGTGATGAAGAGCCCGAGCCTTGGTGTCAAGCCTCAAGTGATTTCGAAGCTCGCCAAAAGGGTACACCTCAAGATATTGAAGATAGTTACATTACTTTGTGTAGTGTAACATTTCACTTGGTGTAGGCCCTAGTGAAGGGTAGTTTCGAGACCCTTCGTGGTTGGGGACAGTGTGGCACTGTTCCACATCACTGTACCTCGGCTCTTGGGGTTTGTAGGAGCTGGGAGTCATTCCCAACTCGTAACTCTTCCTATCTTGTGTTCTAAGACTATAGTGGCTGCCATAGTACCGTTCGTTCGAACCGACGCTGTGTCGTCAATTCTTTATCAAATCGTGCAATCTAAATTGATAATTGTAGACGACGTGAAGACGCTCCAGATCCAATTTGAATCAAGTCATTTGCAGCTGTGAGCAGAACGCTATCAACGTTTGAAGCCGCTGTGCAGAAATCCGTCTGTGCTCTCTATCTTTCGTTTTAGGCACATTCAAGCCTATTGTGACTATAACAATTCTAGGAGGCAGCTCACGAAAAAGCGCAAAGTCGAGTCTGCAAAGGAAAACCGAAAAGACAAACAACGCCTCAGAATCACTCTGGAGCTCATTCGTGTCGAGCTCCAAACTGCAGAATGGGCGGAGAAGGTGTTTGGCAAGGAGAAAGGGAAAGAGTTCACGGCAACAACTGGCTCGCGACCTAGTTCGACGGGCAACCGTGACGAGGGGGGACCCTAGAGTAGGTTGTCCTTTCAGGGTTTACATAGCATCTTGTCAGAATAGTGAACGAATGAATGACTGAGCTAGCAAGCAGGTGGGTACAAGTAGGAAACCTAAAAGTGTTGTACCCTATATGAACTACCCCACTACAGCCTAAACAGACTATAGCATATAAGTTTGACACACCCCCATAGGCAAAGTGGAGGAGAACAAGAGGTCACAAGACCGGTCAAGAAATGCAAAGCAAGCTCAGGGTGGATCACGACGTCACCACACATTCTGAGCACAAGCAAATGGCCACAAGGCCAGTTCACATGCACTTATATAAAGGAAAACAAGCAATACAGTGATCACAACCTCGCAAGTGTAAGCATGCAGGTATATGTATAGAGATCACAGTACAAGCAGAGTCAAGAACTAAGCAAGTGAGGCACAGTAGGTACAAGGCCTAGAACAGTACAGAAACGCTGATGATCACAAGGCTGAAGTGCCTTGGTGAAAACATCAGTAGTGTTGGCCCGAGAAGCCACGTAAGCAAGACAAAGCTGACCACGCTGCTGCAACTCTCGAGCAAGGAAGTAGCGCAGAGCAATGTGCTTCGTTCTGTGCTCCAGTCTGTGCTCCTGACACAAGGCAAGCATTGCCTTGTTGTCGACGTACAGAACTGGAGGAGAACGAGGCGCCTCTCCCAAGTCGGTCAGCAGGTAGGTGAGCCAGCGTAACTCCTGTGCAGCCATGGCCCCAGCGTAGATCTCAGCCTCACAACTGGAGCTGAGAACAGAAGACGAGCAGGTAGACCGCCAAGAGACAGAACCGGAGCCAAGGCTGAAGGTGTAACCCTGTGACGACCGCTGCGTAGCCAAGTCGTCAACCCAGAAAGCGTCTGCGTGACCAGTGAGGACAACTTGAGCCCGTCCTCCAAGCACGAGCCCCATGCCCGACGTACTGCACAAGTAGCGCAACACCCTCTTCGCAGCATCCCAGTGCACCTTTCGGTGCCTACCGGGAGCCTCGTAGCGAGCCAGAAGGCTGAGAGGGTACGCGAGGTCAGGTCGTGTGCAAGTCATCAGGTACATGAGGCAGCCCACAAGCTCTGGATACGGGCCATTCGGCTCTACGGACTCGTCCAAAGGTGGAGCTGAGAGCGAGTGACCGGTAGGCAGAGGAGTGGACTGTGGCGAGGAGTACGTGAAGCCGAAGCGCTGAAGGACCTGCTGCACCATGTGTGACTGAGTCAAGGTAATGGTGCGCTGTGCTTTGTCCCGGGTGATCCGCAAGCCAAGATAGCTTGTCAGTTCACCCAGGTCTGTGCACGTGTGTCTCTTCTGCAGCTCCGACGTCACGTGGGCAAGTGCCTCAGTGTCAGCAGTAGCAAAGACCAAGTTGTCTACGTACACGAGAACGTAGAACGGCGCCAGAGTGGCATCGGTGCGTAGAAACAGCGACGGGTCAGCAGTGGAAGGAGCAAAACCAAGAGCAGCAAGAGTCGTCCTCAGTGTGTCGTGCCACTCATGTGGTGCCTGGCGGAGACCGTAGACTGGCCGCCAGAGGCTCCACTGGGTACCAGCAGGAAACGACCCAGTGAAGCCAGGTGGGCGGCGCAGCCAGATCTCCTCGTGCAGGCTGCCCTGTAGGAAGGCTGTGCTGAAGTCAAGCGAGTGTAGCTCGTAGTCACGCTGAGCGGCGACGTGCAGCAGCACCCGAAGAGTGGTCATCTTTGGGGTAGGGGAGAAGGTATGGAAGAAGTCAACTCCCTGTCGCTGACTGAAGCCTCGTGCAACGTAACGCGCCTTGAAGACAGGCGGAGAACCCAGCTTGCCACAGTTGCTGCGACGGCCATCATGTGCGCAGTCCCGTGCATGTTCTTTGGGACCGGATAAATCACGTTCCCGTGCCTCCGGCCAAGCGTCGCAACCTTCCCAATCGCCGCGCACAGAGCAATTCCCCAGTCGGTTCCGGCTCTCACTTCCGTATTTGTTGTCGCCAGCAGCGATCGGAAACTGCAACTCGAAACAAATGCGTTAGTCAGACGGCATGACTTTGACAGGAAATCCGACAGCACTTCGACGGAAAGAACAAAACCGCTACGACAGTCAAACTACAGGACTTCGACAGAACTCACTCGTCGAAACGACATTCCCCTTGTTCTTGCGCCACGCTCCAAACGCCGGTGGGCATACGCGCTGCTGCATCGAGATAGACCTTCCAGACCTTCTCATCCCGTGCCGTGAACCCCTCGTACTCCCTGAGGTCTATGTTGGGGAAGTACACGCACCAGCAAATGGCCGTACAAAACTTCTGGTCCGCCTCCGTTTCAAATGTGCCCAGGAACCGCTTCCTCGAGCCTAGGGTCTGCTCGGAAACCGGCTTCCCCTTGCGCGACATCATGCCCGGTCCTTTGAAGGGAGCTTTGCAGCCTCTCGTCTTGCCTTGGTCGTCCGGCGGAGGAGGTGGGGCGTAGCCGATCACCTTGGGATTCTTTGACTTTCCGTGTCGAGCATCAACGATGGTAGACGCCATCTCTCTGTTGACTAACAAATGCGTTAGTCAGACGGCATGACTTTGACAGGAAATCCAACAGCACTTCGACGGAAAGAACAAAACCGCTACGACAGTCAAACTACAGGACTTCGACAGAACTCACTCGTCGAAACGACATTCCCCTTGTTCTTGCGCCACGCTCCAAACGCCGGTGGGCATACCAGCGGCTGCATCGAGATAGACCTTTCAATCCTTCTCATCCTGCGTCGTGAACCCCTCGTACTCCGTAAGGTCTATGTCGGGGAAGTACACGCGCCAGCAGATGGCCGTACAAAACTTTTGGTCCGCCACCGTTTCAAAAGTGTCCAAGAACCGCTTCCTCAACCCTACGGTCTGCTCGGAAACCGGCTTCCCCTTCCGCGACATCATGCCCGGTCCTTAGAAGGGAGCTTTGCAGCCTCTTGTCTTGCCTTGGTCGTCCGGCGGAGGAGGTGGGGCATAGCCAATCACCTTGGGCTTCTTCGACTTTTCGTGTCGAGCAGCAATGACGGTAGACGCCTTCTCGACGTCACTGCTATCTGTCGCCTCTGCATCGCGCTTCGTCGAATTCGTCACAGCCTGCCTTTTCTTCGACGCAGATGGGGACCTTGGCCTCGGACCAGGAGGAGGGGAACCCGGTTCGCTAAGGCAGACGTCGCCTAGCACGGACGATGGCCTCTTTCCCACAGGCTCGACAGGATGGCCAACAATACCGAGCTGTGCAGCTGAGTAGGCCTTTGTCTTCGACAGCAACCCAGCAGCGTCGACGACCTGGCTGGGAGCACCCTGTTTCTCCCCCGCTCCTTTCCCCGCAGCGCCGCCGGACGAGGTAGGGGCACCTCGCTTTTCCACGGCTCCTTTCCCGGCTGAGGCGACAGATTCGATTGGGGCACCACTTTTCTCCCCCGCAACCACTCTGTTCCAACCTGCTTTCCCGAGGCCCTGCAACATGTCCTACAGTGGAGCAAAAGCATCAAGCGGAGGCTTCGGAGCCGCTTCGAAGGTCTTCTGAAGGGGCGACTGGTCGAGTACGATGACCTCCTTGTCCTCGACAGAGTTGCAGATGGTCTGACGGGCACGCGACAGTGGGGATGCTACCGGTCTGCCGACATGTCCTCCCACCGAAGAAGAAGGAGGAACCGAGCGCTCATGAACTCGACGCTCAACCCCGCTGCGAACACCAGCCACCCCCTCCTTCTGACGCGACCTCGTCGACGGGCCCGCCGAGCCCCGAAACCCTCTCGCCATCGCTTCGGTGAGGACTTCCAATCTGCCAGCTTCAGCTTCTTGGTAGCCTTCTCTCACAACGTCCTTCAGCTCCTTCATGCTCTCGCGCGGGAGGGTGGAGTAGAACACGTCCTCCTTGATAGCTTTCTCAATACCCTTCACGACCGAAGCAGCCAGCCACTCCTCGACAAGCTTGAGCTGCTTCTCGACGGCGTCCTCGCTCGCTTTTATGATAGCGGCTGCCATCCCCTCGATGATTTTCCCGCTCATCTCGTCGAGCTTCGTGCGCGCCCCTTCCAACAGCTTCCTCTCCTCCGTGACACCGTTTACGGCATCGCCGCACTGCTTCAGCGTGCTCTTCGACGACTCCGAAATCATATTCCAAGCCATCCGAAAATCCCCAGCAAGCTTGTTGAAAATAGCGGCTTGCTCACTGTGCTTCGAAAATACATCGGCGACGGGCTTCTTCTGCGACGCCTCGACCTCCGCAACCCTCTGCAGTAGCTCGACGACCTGGCCTCCGGATGCAATGGCCGACGTCGAATGGCCTGCCGTCGAAGGGCGCCCGGTCGAAGGGCCCGCTTGTCCGCTGCCACTGGTCGTGCAGTGTCTTCTTACTGCGACCTGTCACTCCTGCGCAGCCTCCCCGCCCTCCTGATTCTGCCCTTCCGCCCCACCCTCCTGTGCAGCCACCACGCCCTCCTGCTGCTGCCCTCCGACCCCACCCTCCTGCGCAGCCGCCCCGCCCTCCTGCTGTTGCACTCCTGTCCCAAAATCCTACACAGCCGCCCCGCCCTCCTGCTGATGCACTCCTGCCCCACCCTCCTGCGCAGCCGCTCCGCCCTCCTGCTCCTCGACAGCCCCATCGTCCCCCGTCGCCTGCTGCTCGATATGCATCACCCGCTCCCCGAGCGCCACTCCATGCTCCTCCGTACGCTCCGTCCCACCTAGATGTTCTCCTACGCCCTCGCCGTCGTGCTCGATCGACTCATCACTTGAGCTCGAGCCGAAGCTCGATTCCGAGCTCGAGCCCTCCTGCTTGTTCGCATTGCCCCCCAGGCCGCTCACCCTGTGCTGAGCTTGCCTCGATGTATCCTCCTCGATCTCCTCCTCCTCAACCACGACGTGTGGTGCCCCCTCGCCTCCTCCCTCGTGTTCGGCACCCCCTCCCACTCCTACTCCCTCCGCCACCTCGTCCATCCTTTTCCAGAACAGTTTGACCATGAACGACGGAAGCATACCTGGGCCAGGGCTTGTTCTCCTGAGCATCACGAGGTCGCCCTATCAAGGCTGCAGGATGAAATTGTCCCAGTTCGACAGAATCCGGCGCACCCCAGGCACGACACGAGCTGCCGCGCTGGGTTCACTGGGGCTCGTCAGGGCCGTCGTCGTTTGCGACGGATATAAAACACACGTAAGTGTCAGAACAACATGCTCGATGAAAGCATGCACGAGTAAGGGTAAGGGTTGGCTTACCAGATGATCGAAACTCATGATCATGTCCAAACGCAGGTCGATGAGGCTAAGCACCCCCTGCTCATGCTCGGTCACAACCCGCTGGGTCGTCGCGTACTCGGCGCGAAGCTGCTTCTTCATCCAACTACAAAGCAACGGACAGGAGAGTAAGAGATTGTTGAGAACGGCAAGTCGACAGCATGGTGGCAAATCGGTCACTCACACGAGAACTTCATGCGCCAGCGAAGATTGGTGGTTCACCGCGGGAAACCTGTCTTTCGAATCGAAGTGCATAATTCGAGTTCGACAGCCATGGTGCCTCGGAGCCAGCAGATCTTCGGGGCGCGATACCACAAACAGGCTCGAGTGGGAGAACGCCGCCACAGTCAGGCTGCATGCAGAGCGAACGCACGTGAGCATGGGTTTAGTACTAAACACGGAGCACGCAAGGCAACAAGATAGTGTCAAACTCACGTGGTCCGCAGCAGAACGAGAATCACTTGCTTGCCGAGCAGGCCGTCGAGGTGGTTGTTCTCAAAAGCGATCGGTGTGGGACGCGCCATCTCTTCATGCGCACGCGTCGATGTCACAATCGACAGCTTGGCGAGCTGCTCGACGGACAGCAGCTCCCTTGAAAACAGGCTGCACGGAAAGCTAAGGCACAGTGAGCGATAGGTAGACATGGCAAGTTGAAAATGCTCGACAGGAAACGTACACAATGCCCGCGTTCATCATCATCTCGTCGAGCTCCTCTTTCGGCGCCTCGCTAAGCGCATTCAACTGGTCTTCGAACACCTCCACCTCGATCCCACCTGCGGTTAGGATGAGGCCGCGTCGAACCGTCGACTCGTTCACGACAGGTAGGGAGGCGGGGCCCGTAGCCATGGCAGGCCTAGCAGTAGGGAGGGCAGGAGCGCAGGGAAGTTGGGAACTAGGGAGTAGGGAAGAAAAACTCGGAGAATGCAACAAAATGATAACGCACTCAGGGTATTAGCTGTTTGCCATCCCCTCCACCGAGACAGACTCGGGTGCGAGGGCGACGAGGCAGGGCGGGTTCCGCGACGGCGGTAGGAGGAGCTTATGGCAGAGGGCGGCGGGGCACTATTGGTGGTTGGTTGCATGAGGTGGGGCGCCTTGCATGCAGCTGAAAGGCTCCTTTCAAGGGGCTGGAGGGGGCGTTCGACACATCACCAGGGTCGAGCGCCAACCGAAACGGGCCCGTCGAGGGCGAGAGCGGTGGAGCGCGGCGCAGATGGGCGTCGCTTCCGTCCGCTCGCGAGGGGACCACTGCCAGCTCGAGGACGCGTGTCGCTGGCGTCATCGGCAGCTGGCGCCAGCTGGGGGTGCCCGTTTTCGGGCGGGGGGGGGGGGGGGGGGGGGAGGGGGGGGGGGTCGGCTCCCGCCCCTCGTATGCTTCGCTAGGCGACTGCGGGAAAACGGAAATCCCTCCAGGGAAATCCCGCAGGGGCAAAGGGGGGCCTCTGGAGGGATTCGGCTGATACGGTATCTTCCCAAGACGCGGCCCCCTTTCTGGCTATGAGATGAATGTGCAAAGCATTCAGGTATACAGAAAAATATATATATATATATATGTTTTTACTGTGTACACTTCTCTAATTTACAGCAGCTGGATTCTGCTTTGCAACACTGAACACAAGCTTAAAACAATAAAATAAATAAAGAACAGGCGAAAGTATACATAGGTGATAATTCCAGATCAACTCAGCCCTAATGCATTTTGAGGACCACCGCAAAACTGCCCATGGTTGCAAACACCCAGATAATGAGCCTGCTGCCTATCTTCAACATCACTCATTCCTGCCCTTGAGACACATCAACCCAGAAACTCAGGTGCCGAATCAACAGCTGCTCCACCCCATGACGCGCTGCGCTTTCTTTCAATCCTTGTTCCAGAACCGCCAATCCCGGAAGCAGGTGGCATGCCATATTGTGGCGGATAAGCCATAGCACCCGGAACCATGGTTCCCATAGCCTCATTCCCCGCTATACCCCCCCCCACAGGGCCCACAGCTGGAACCATAGAGTTCCAATCAGCAATTGGTACAGCACTTCGAGACGGTCGATGCCGGCCGCCCGTGGCAACAGCACTACCAGCTCCCCCACCACCACTCGTACCAGGAAACATTCTGTTAACCGGGGCAGAGCCGTCACTGTTAGCACACAAGGTGGCGGCGGAGTCGAAGCTTCTGCTGGCAACGCGGTAACCAGGTAACAGGTTACCAGCCTGGAAATTACCAGATCCGAGGCTGGACGGCAAGGGGCCAGATGAAAAAGGCCCTGTTGCAGAAACACCTGAAGGGAAACCCCTGGGTAGTGGGGGGAGATTGCTAGAGGAGGGAGGGAAATAGCCAGAAGAGGGAGGGAGATTGCTGGATGAGGAAGGGAGGGATGAAACAGTGGAGGATATTGTAACAGGAGGGCCCAAGCCAGCGTCACTGAGAGGGTGACACACGGTTGACCCTGGTCCCACTGCTGGTTGCTGAGTTGGTTCACCAGAAACGGGTGTCTTTGGTCTTTGTGCGTGCTGCTGCATCTGCTGCTGTTGTTGTTGCTGCTGCTGTTGCTGCATCTGCTGTTGTTGCTGCTGCTGCATTTGCTGCTGCTGCAGCTGATAATGCTGTCGCTGTTGCTGCTGCAGATTTTTCTGTTGCTGCAACTGCTGCTGCTGCTGCTGCTGCTGCCACAGGCCAGTAGACTGCTGCTGCAGTGACAGGTGCGCTGCTGGTTGCGCCTGTCCCTGCCACTGCCCCTCCCTCATCCCACTCATTCCCACAGCACCAGCAACACCAGGACTGCCAGCAGGCGTACTATCCATCCCTGCTGGCCCTGCTGCTAGTCTGCTGCCCGGGCCTTGGAGCATGGTTCCTTGAAACTGCTGAAACTGCTGGTACTGCCACTGCTGCTGCTGCTGCTGCTGCTGCTGCTGCTGCTGCTGCTGCTGCTGCTGCTGATACGGGGCAAACGCCCCTCTGTACATGCCCCCTATGCTAGTGCCACCACCCACTGCCCCTCCTGCCCCAGCTACTTCCCCTAGTCCCGGAGAGAATTGAGACACAGGGCCAGAAAATGCGCTTCCTAAGTTTCCAGGATATCCAGAGGGTAAAAATTGGCTTGATACATTTCCTGGAAAGTTCACAGACTGCTGAGCACCTGACGCTGATAATTGGAGTTGTTGCATCCCCCAAGGCTGATTCGTAGCTTCATGCGACTCTTGATCGTTCTTATCTCCTGCTCCCGTTGCTCCTGCTACTCCTGCCGCCCCTGCCGCTCCTGCTGCCCCTTCAGCTGCTGCTCCGGTCGCTCCCTGAGCAAGCATGCGCTTAATACGAGCAATTTTCACCTCTTTGGGTTCCAATCTCCTCCTCCTCCTCTCTTCATCAGAGTCCACCTCCTCTTCCTGCTCTCCCCCTTCTCCTTCTCCTTCTTCCTCCTCATCCGCATCTCCATCCCCGTCCTCCTCCCCCTCTCCCTCCTCCTCCGCAATCCCTTGTCCTGCCCCCCTCCGCCCCTTGCTTCTCTTCCCCACTGCATCAGACCTCCCTCTTTCTCTTCCCTGCCCATCCTCACCAGACCCGCCCCCATGCCCCTTGAACAGCCTCTGAATAAGCCCCCCTCCACTTCCTCCCAAAGCAGCACCGGCGTCCCCTGCTTTTCCCCCTCCCACAGCAAAAGACTGGGATTTGAACAGCCTCGGTTTCACCTCATCTTCATCTTTCCTTACCGCCACTCGCTTCACTTTGTCTTCCCGCACTCCCACTCGCCTCACCTCCCCCCCTGCTCCGACTCTCCTCACCTCTCCCCCACCCCCTGCCCCTCCTGCCCGCGACCCCTCCCTCCCTCCTTTTCCCCCAACTCCACCTCCTTTTGCTCCTGCTCCCCCCTCACTTCCTCCCTTTTCGTTACCACTCCCTGCGCCCTTCCCCCCTCTATTCACTCCAACAGCCATAGAGTGGCTGCGGGGAAAGACTCCTTTTATGGGACGTGCAGCCGCAGCAGCAGCAGAAGAAGCAGACGCAGCAGCAGCAGCAGAACCAGACGCAGCAGGGCCACCAGCAGCGCCACTAGCAGGACCAGCAGCAGCCAAACCAGCAGCACCAGCAGGGCCACCAGCAGCACCGACAGCCATAGAGTGGCTCCGGGAAAAAGAGCCTGCTGTGGGCCGTGCAGCAGCAGCAGCAGGAGCTGCAGCAGGAGCAGCATGAGAGGCAGCAGGGCCACCAGCAGGGCCACCAGCAGCACCGACAGCCATAGAGTGGCTCCTGGTAAAAACGCCTTTTGGAAGTCGTGCAGGAGCAGCAGCAGACACCGCCGCCGCAGCAGCTGCAGCAGCAGCAGTAGCAGCACCTGATGCAGCAGGGTCGCCAGCAGCAAAACCAGCAGCAGTGGCACCACCACCAGCATCACCAACAACAGCAGCAGTAGCAGCCGCAGCAAGCGAGTGCATGGGATCACTAAGAGCAGCGGAGGTGGGGACGATTTGGCAGGCAGATTCAGTAGCCATGTGGTAACCATCTGGACCGAACCCTCCAGCAGAACCTGCTTGGAAGTTTCCATACACATGCTGTAGTTGCTGCAAGTATAGGAGCTGTTGCTGCTGGGCCTGCTGCTGCGCCAGTTGCTGCAGCTGTTGTGGCTGCGCCTGTTGTTGCTGATGCTGCATCAGCATCTGCTGCTGCATCTGCTGCTGCTGCTGCTGCTGCTGCTGCTGCTGCTGCTGCTGCTGCTGCTGCTGCTGCTGCTGCTGCTGCTGCTGCTGCTGCTGCTGCTGCTGCTGCTGCTGCTGCTGCTGCTGCTGCTGCTGCTGCTGCTGCTGCTGCTGCTGTGTCTGGCTCTGCATGAGAAATCCTGGCTGCACTTGCACCTGCTGCTGCCCATATCCACTCTGGTCCTGCCTCTTGGCCATTGTGCCAGCACCTCCAGGTGGTATACCACCCACAGCCGCACCTGCACCACCAGGTGATATACCACCCACAGCCGCACCTGTTGCAGCAGCACCATCACGACTATTCCCTTGTCTCTTCCTCTGCCCTCCTTTCCATACTTTCCCTTCTACTGCCTCCTCCTTTCTCTCCTCCGCCCCTTCCTCCTCCTGCACCTCCTCCTCCTCCTCCCCCTCCTCCTCTTCCTCTTCCTCTTCCTCCTCCTCCTCCTCCTCCTCCTCCTCCTCCTCCTCCTCCTCCTCCTCCTCCTCCTCCTCCTCCTCCTCCTCCTCCTCCTCCTCCTCCTCTTCCTCTTCCTTCTCCTCTTTCCGCTCCTCCTTCTTCCCTCTCCCTGCGCCACGATCTACTCGGGAAACCCTCCCAGTCGGCTCAGAGAAAGACGCCTTTCCGGGGTGGGCATTGCTACCGGAAACTCTCCCATTCGTTTCAGGAAAAGGCGCCCTACCCACATGCCGATCACTAAGGGAAAACGCTACAGGGAAGCACTCGAGAGACCTCCCTCTCCGCCTCCTCACCTGCTCCCGCACTTTCCTAGAACCTGCCCTTTCATTTGGCTGTGGCTCTAAAGAAGCCTGCCCCGGCACTTGCTGCCCCATGGAGGGCCCTCCTCCTCCCCGTCCTCCTCCTCTCTTCGCTCCCTCATGGGAGCTCAGGTGCAAGAAACGAAGGAGCTCGTGTATACTCCCCATGCTCCCTCCCCTCCCCTTCCTCCGTCCCTTCCCCTCCCTCCACTCTTCCCTCCCCATTTCCCTCGCCCTTTCCCTCCCACCCTCCCCCTCCCTTTCCTCTGCTTCCCCATTGTCCAAGAAGGAAACCCGCCTCTGCCGAACCTGCTGCCCCTCTGAACCTGAAGTCGACGTTCGGGACCTCCCGCTCTCATCCCATTCTGCACCATCTACTCCGCCCATCATTCCCCCACCCTTACTGCCTCCTCTCACACCGCTTACTTCCTTACCCACATCCCTGCTCCTGCCACTATCCTCCCCGAGATTGCCTGAGCCTGAGTCGCTTCTCGGATTTCTCACATGCGACTCAGATCTCCCCACTGCCCTGCTTCTGACAGAACCTTCTTCAGAACTCGCTTCTTGCCTTTTCACTGCCGCCGCACACTCACCAGCACCCCCACCCTTGTGGATCAAACCCGCGTGCACCAATTCATGCGATTCTTTAGCACGAGAAACATCCTCGTTACAAGCATCCTCCAGCACGTCTCTTTCACACGAATCCTCACCAAGAGCATCTGCGTTAGAAACATGCTCCTGCTTAGGAGGCTGTTGCAGCCGGCCCCCATACGAAGCTGACTTGGGAAAAGCGTGATGGCCGGTGGTATCAGAGCCTGCTGTGTAAGAGGAGTTAATCAAGTCGCTCACACACTTCTGCACCTGCCCTCCCTTCCTTAACCTCCCTCCCCCTCCTCCTCCTCCTCCCCCTCCCACAGCTCTTCCTGCTGTTGCAGCATCAGTTGTTGCCTTTGATGCCGCTGCTAACCCTCGCCGTTTCTCGAGAGGACGGGCAGTATCAGAGAGCCTGTGAGGTTGATCAGAAGCATGTTCTCGCGGCCCTGCCATGTCAGAGAGCTTTTGAGACGCCTCAGAGTCGTTATCTCGGGGCCCAGGCCTGGCAATGGCTGCTTGAGTAATGGCTGCTCGAGTACTGCTATCACCTTCCTCCCTTCGCCTGCTTCCCCCTCCCCCCCCCTCGCGTATGCCCCCCTTCCGCCCCGCGCTTGCTCTCCCCATCCCAGCTTTGCCTGCTCTCCCATTCCCCTCCTCGCCCGCTCTTCCCATCCCAACTTTGCCTGTTCTCCCCTTCCTCCCCTCGCCTACTCTCCCCATTCCCCTTTCCGTTGCTCTCCCTATCCCAGCTTCGCCTGCTCTCCCCTTCCCCGCAATACCTGCCATTATCCCAACCACCCCCTCGCCTGCTCTCCCCATCCTCCTTATAAGCAGACTCATCCCCATGCTCAAGACCTGCCTCCCACTGCGGCATCTCCTCTACAGATTTAGACCTTCGCTTCACAAGCGCACGCCTCTCCCCATCCTCCGCCCCTTTACTCTTTGTCATGTATACCCAACCTTCACCACCACCACCACCACCACCACCACCACCACCACCACCACCACCACCACCACCACCACCACCACCACCACCACCACCACCACCACCACCACCACCACCACCACCACCACCACCACCACCACCACCAGCCGCATTACCGCCGGAAGCAGCACCATCAGCATCAGCACAAGCAGCAGCAGCAGCGCCAGCTGACACAGCTGCAGCTGCGGCTGCTGCCTCTCCACCGAACCTAGACTTGCCATGGGTTCGGATCGGACCTACCTCCAGCACCCCTACCTCACCTTCCGAACCATGCCTCCTCCTACCCCTCACCCCTCTCTGCCCTGTTGACACAGACGGCGATTTTGGCAGCATCTGGGGGCGGTGGGAACTGGGGCCGGCCAGGTGAGTGCCACCTAACTTACGCTGGGTGTCAATTGAGTTTGCACCAGAACCATAGAGATCTCCCCCGCTTACATCCTCCCCATCCACCTCTCCCCCTCCCATACCCACACCATCATTCCCATTTCCTCTGGTGCCCCAGTCCAAAGGCAGGGAACCTTCCGAGAGATTTCTCTGGTGCCCCGATCCCTGACGTGGCAGCAGCTGCTTCTGGCGCTGCGGCTCCCCTTTCCTCTCCACCTCCTCGCCTTTCAACTTACCCTTCGCCTCTCCTCCCTTGCCCTCCTTCTCTTTCCCCCGTCCTCTGCCCTCCCTCCCCGCGCCTTGTGCAGCAGCAGCGCCAATAGCTGCATGCTCGCACTCCTGCTCCTCTGACTGGAATGTCTGGTCTCTGCTTCTGCTTCTGCCCCTGCTGCTGCTCCTGCTGCTACTGCTGCTGCTGCTGTTTGCGACGTGGCCGTCCCCACTGCTACAACTGCTCCTGTCCCTGCTCCTGCTGCTCCTGTTGCTACTACAGCCAGCGCCAGCACTGCTGCCGTCGGCACTGCCGTCCCCGCTACTACAGCTGCTCCTGTTTCTGCTGCTGCTGGGCCTGTTGCTACTACAGCCAGCGCCGGCGCTGCTCCCGTTGAAATTGCTGTGGCTGCTGCTCGCGCGAGAGGGGGACCTTGTGAGGTCATGAGCCTCCTGCTGCGCCTGCCGCGCTAGCAGGGCCTGCTGAACCTGTTCGCTCTGCTCTCTCTGCTGCGGCTGTTTTGACTGCTGGCTTTCCAGGGCAGCGGCCGCAGAAGATGAGCGAGAGTGCGACGTGGGCAGCCGAGACGACTTGCGACGAGCGGGCCCTTCAACGGTCGGCGCGTGCGTGCAAAATCTCCCTTCCACTGCCTCTGCTGCAGAAACCCTGTTCGAATCGCCCATGGCTTCAGGACGGCTTGACTTTCGAGTCGACTCAACGGTTCTCTCTTGTCCACAGGAGCTCTCTCCCGCTGCCTCTGCTGCGGAGCCTCCGCTCGAATCCTCCATGGTTTTCGTCCGACGTCGAACCTTACCCGTTGCCTCTTTCCGCGCGCTGCCACCTCCCGCTGCCGAGTCGCTCCTATCTCCCGCTCCGGAGCGTGAGCTGCCTTGGCTTTCCAACCCCCCATGGGATTCGTCGTCGTTTCTGTGAACGTTTTGATTCTTCCTCCCAGTTAGTATTGTTTCTAGGGTTTCTTCGCTATAGTGTCTCGCGGAACCGTCTTCGTCCGCATCCGCAATCCACGGCGCGTCGTGCGCCATGAAACGAGCGGCTTCGTCGGCGACGTCATCGTGAATCACGATGCTGGACTGCGACCCGCTGCCGGCCACGTTATCACGCGCGAAAGAACGAAAGCGACTCGCCTTATCCGCGGGGTCGACGGCCCTCCGGCTCACGTCCTTTACTCGCGACGCGTCAGAATCGATTCTTTCATCAGAACTACTACCCGAATGGCGACGGCTTACCCTGATTCCTTGGCTCTGGATCGCACCGCGAGAGCCGTCGTGAGGAACGCCATGGCCTGTAGCGTGTGCTGACGTGTACAGGTCCATGGTGGCATCGGGGTGCACGGCGACGCAAACCGGCGACATGGTTACCAGGTTTTCGGCAACGGAAACCCCATATCCAGGCAAGAGGGATTGTCTTTAAAAAATATAAACCAATAACTTTGCTAACAAGGGTAAATCTATCTTGAAGTCAAACGCTGACCACGATTGTCTACTCCAGACAAGAACGGCGTGAACTAGCATATTAAGCTTTAAACGCGTTAGCGCCTTTGTCTCCTATTCAGTGCTTAAAAAAAGTAAACTCTCTAACACTTTTTTCGATGACTGAGCGGATTAGACGCACGGCAGAATATCACAAGCCGAGAGGCAAGCAGACGAACAACACACTCCAAAAGCTTACAACATGATAGTTGAGGAAGTGAGGAGGATTGAGCAGAACATTGTCGTGAGTTGTGTCGTGAATTGTGTGACTCGTCTCGTGGTGAACCATTATTCCTGTGGCCAGCAGTTCCCCTCAAATCCCGATGTGAGGGAAGAAATCGAGGCCTGAGGAGAACCTTGGAAATTGCGCGGCGCGGCTTGCTCTGGCGCAGCAGACCAGACTGGCATTTGAACGCCTCTGGTCAGGTCTGGTTGGAACCAGAATCTGGCTGTCAGACGGGTAGACAAAATTTCATCGAAAATGCATGTTACAGAACTCACTACATTATACTGAGGCAGGGTAATTTCATGCGAGATGGCTACGCGATTCATTTCGGGGCGGTTTGGAAGGCTGGTGCGGATTTTCTGTCCAATGGTTGCCAGCTAGGGATCGCTGGATCTCGAAGCCACAAGCCAATCCATTCAACCACCAACCAACCGGCCACAACACAAAACAAGCAGAACAAGGCTTCTTGAGCTGGTGGCTATACCTTACTCCATAATGACAGTAAGGGGTCAGTTGGGAAAAAAATCAGTAGAACATGGTAGGCTTTCAACAGGGTATCTAGTAGCAGAAACTGACAATGACTAGGCATCAGGGTACCTTGGTGAGTTGGAGAATTCCTTCACAGTTCAGGGCAGTGAGAAGCCGTTCAGTAAGGTATTGAACTCATGACGTTTTACATGTGTCAGAACATATCACCACCTTGTACACTGGCCCCCTTAGGCTCAGAATCTCAGCAAAACAAACACATGTTGTGCAATCCCCTCTATGCATACAAATCTGTCCCATCGTCATTTGAAAACCCATACCCCCACGTTTGTTGCTCCTGCTGCTGCTCCTGCTGCTGC